GTGCCCGTCTCCCATTTGGGGACATCCTGTGATTTTCACTACCTCTTCCGCAGAAACAGATAGAATAAAAGGTCCCATCACTTACTTCTGCTGTTCTGCCACTGCTAGCCTGTCTGCATCTGGATCAGTAGCCACTACTACTTTAGCATTTTCTTTCTCTGCAAGTCTCAGTGACAACTCCTGGTGGGAGGAGAGGGAAGGCAGGGAAAAAAATGAAAGTCACAAAAATCAAATAAACCCACAGTCTTACTTCTTAATTATACGTAACATGCAGTTAAAAGAAAATCCCATATGCAATGCCCACTGCATTAACACAGCTGAAAGCCAGGTAATCCCTGGTTTTTTTTTTGTTTTCCACCACAGTATCATATCCAAACAGAGAAAAGTCCACTGGAATACATAAATCTGACAAAGCAGAAACAAAAATACCAGCACAGATTCTCCTTCTTCAGGATTTGGGCATTTGACAGTAGAGAAGTCTGGATCTGGATCTTTTTGTTCAGGTACTGGAATGGGAGGCTGAAAGCCAAACGCTTTGAAAGCCAACTGCACGTAGTCGTGTCCAACTCCATGAAACGAGGTATGAACAAACTTCAAATTTGTTTGCACATTTAGCTCCCTAAGAAGGAAAAAAAAAAAAAAAAAAAAGGAATTTCAGTGAGATTATAGTTATTTAACAAGACTACCTTCATGTGGGAAAGCAAAAGCAAAAGAAAACGCAATTACACTTTCTACTATTCTGCTGATTTCTGCATTAATTTCAAAGAAGGAATGCGTAAAAAGTGCTCATTTGGACCTTCACTAGAAATTGCTCGTTTAAAGCTTCTTCTCCTGGAAAAACAGATATTTACCTTCTGCTGAATCGGCTGAAAGTCTCCTAAGAACAAACTGCGAACTCAGAGCTCTTCCACCACCCTCAAAATCTTACTCTGGCTCTACTCTACCCACATTATTCATCCTCCTCCTTTTATTCTTGTCTTCTGCCCCACCTAACTTTTAAATTTTATCTTCCCACCTCTATTCCATGCATGTACACCTCACCTTTACTCTGATTTTCTGCATTTTATTCAGAACTCTTTGAGCATATCTGTTTGCATAAGTGGTTCACACCAGGGTGCTTTACTGTAGCCTGGTGTCCAAAGGCAGGCTGCTTTGTTGTCAAGAAGTTTGGTTTAGTCCTAATGATGATCGAATTGAATGACACATCAGAGAAGGGATGGGGTGAGACAGAATGGGGAGATGCCCAAAAATTATTCCCACCAGGAAGAGCACAGAGCAATGGCCTGAAGCAGACAGTGACGTCTGTGGCAGAGTGAAGCACCCAGGTTCCACAAACCGTAAAGACAGAAATCAAGTCACTGATTTGTGATGACAAAAAAAATCACTACAGGCAGGTCCGAAACTACTAAAATTTTGGACGACAGCCCAATTCCTATATCCAAATCAAAAATGTTTATGTATGGCAGCATCACATGCTTTATTATTGAAGTCTGCCTGTCAGCTGTCAGTTTTCCACAAGTAATCCAGAGCTCATTTTAAAACATATTTAAAGTACATTCTGTTTCATACAATACCTATAATAACAGATCTTTTTCAGATCCTCCATGTAACAGTCACAAATTTTCTTCAGAGGATCCTGTCTAAGCAGACTGGTGTCTACTAGATTCTCATTCCAAGAGCCACTCCATGGTTCAACGCACTCTTCTATACATTTTATAATTTCCTTATCATGAGGAGAGGTGATCTGTGCTCCATTTTCCCAATAAACCTGGTAGAAGTTTAAGGAAAACAAGAAACAGTTTATTTACAAAGATTATTAACTTGGTAGATTCTTTTAGCTATAGGATTCCACGTACTTTCTGCTTCTTGAAGTCATATAGAAAAGGCTAGCACCAGACTGATTCTCAAAAATAATCTGGAATCACCGTTTATGATTTCAGTTATGCTTATGATAGCTACTCAGCAACACTACCTATTTTCAAAAAAGCTGGTATTCATCTATTCTGACTGAAACCACCAGGATGTGAGAAACTGAAACTGGGCACTAAGGTTTGCACAACACTCTCGAATGTAACTAAAGAAAAACATTACCTTCTACTTAGTCTGGCATTCCTTTTGAAAAAGAAGCACAACTTGTTTTGAAATCAAAGCAAAACAGATAAGCAGTGTGCCAAGGTACATGTTTTTCCATAACTGAGCAACTGTAATCTTTCAGCTGGAAACACTATCAAACTCTGAACCATAAAAAGTCTTTGATAAAGAATTATTTAGATGCCAGTTTCCCACAGTTTTTCTCCAATAGCATGGTTGAGTTCACAGTGCAGACTTTCTGCTTGGATCAATTTGTCTCTCTTCTTGTCCGCTGGCTTTCATGAAACCCATAGGTACTCTATCTTCAAAACTATGGGCTTGTCAAGTTCGGTTAAAATTACCCAAAACCTTCAGAAGCTGCTGAATTCACAGGGGAAAACAGTGAACGCTAAAACAATTCTTGTGAAAGACTAGGAAAAACAATATCCTGACAAAAGTAAAATGCTTTGTTTCAGAAGACACAAACATAATAGCTTTTTGATAAATGAAGCACCTGGAAAACTGATGTGGTTTGTTTTCTTATTCATTGCTATAGCTAAGCAAAAGTAAAGGCTGGTGAAGTACTTTACAGCTTGTTCCAGAGAGGATAAGTGCAGTACAATCACCTTCCAGAGTTATCTCTCTGCAGAGCAAGACTGGTTTTCCTGTCCTTGCCATTACTCACTAACCTGTTACTAAGCTTCTAGAATGCTAAGTTTAGTTGAAGTTTAGAGTTTAGTTCAGATTCTCATAAAGTTTAGAACAGAAATACTGTGTGAAGATATTTCTAAGCAACATTTGCTATTATGGATGGTTACAGTGTTCCAAGCTTTCAAAACAAAGCCATCCACCTCCCTCTCAATGCCCAGACAAATAACCTGACGAGGAGCAACACATTACTACAAAGTTTTATTAATTAACTCAAACCATCACCACTTTCAGTACAGTTACCTACTGTGTGGACTAATTCAGCGAAGTTCTAGCTCAGTTTTAAATTCTTTAAGTCTAAGAAGTGAACACATAATAAATTGCATAAGCGTTTCTTCAGCTGCCGATCAGACTCTATGGAATGTCACAACAGGCCTGCGCTCAAGATACACGAGCAGTGTGGTCTTAAGCTCTAGTCACAGAATTGTGTGTAATTCAGGCTACAGAAGGATTAATTACTTGAAATCATTTCTCCTTCTAATGTACACACACACGCGCTCCAGCAGCCATCAAATGCCAAAGGCATGTAGGTAATACTGGAACGCAGATGGCTGTGACATCCTACGAACTTCAAGTTCAAGCCTTACTTTGTATCCGTTGTCCTCCTTCCGGTTGTGGGACGCTGTGATCATCACACCAGCCACAGCTTTGAGCTGCTGAACGGCATAGGGCTACAAAGGAAACCCAGAAATGTCCATTTACCCAAGAGTTCTGCAGCTGGCACAAAACTATCACATTATTAGGACAGTTTTACAATAGGATGCTACAGGAGAAGTGGCTCTTAATGTTTCACCAATTTATTTGGAAATTGTGCACAGGAATGCTCACCACTCTGCTTCCTGTAGCCAGTAACAGAGAGAAAGCTTGTTCTATTCTGTTGCATTATTCTATTCACCAATTACGCAAACACAATTGTTAACTGGCCAGCTAAAGAAAGTCTACACTCAGATTACACTAGTATTTGAGAAAGAGAAAAATGTTGAAACAGAATGAAGGAATTCACCAAAAGGCTTGCTGAAAAACAAATTACGAGTTATTTCCAGCTAGTGAGCATCCAATCCTTTCAGTCCTCCCCTCAAAACCAGATCCACAGCATACACAGCACACTAGAAAAGCTTACAGAATCGAAACCAAGGATTTAAAACTCTACAAGAAAAAGCTTCCGTGACTAGAATGGAAAGCTCTGTTTTTTGAGATATTAAAAGTAGAGGCAGTCCTCCATTTCTTCCATTCTAAGTGTAAGTCTTATGTCTAAAAACATACAGTCCCTATATATGTATATATATTCACACACATACATCATCCTTGGCCCTTATGACACTCAGGTGTTTTAAGCACAGAATAAAAGAACAGCAGAAGGCTTCACTGGTAACTAATAAAGCAAAGCCTGGACTGCAGTAATTACTGCCCTTTCGCAGCAGCCTAGGGTAAAATGTGACTCTGATGACTATCTGCACACAGAAAATTCAGCGACAGTCTTGTTACAGCCTCCTTGAAGAGCCAAGTGTACCAAGCTGCCTCTATTTCTCTGTTTAAACGCTGGAATTTGAGAAGAAAATTGCTAGTTCACATTTTTAGTAAACTTTCAAATACTCCCTTAGCTGCATGGTTCAACAATATAAAAGAGAAGGCGACTCACCACAAACGGTGTAGGGACATAGGTGGAAAAGAAGTATACAGGTACGTCTTTCGCCAGGAGGACTGCTGCGGTGAGCTTTGCAAGTCTACCAACATGAAAAAGAAAACACTCAGTCAACCCAACTCCCCGTGACAATCCAACAGCCATATGGCATTACTGTAACCTTCATTTCACTTGTTTCTTAAATCTCTCTACTGTTTTTTGGCTTACACCAAGAGTGGTATCCTACAGCCTGCACAGTCAATGCAATTCAGTTTTCAGGCTGTAGAATCTGAGATAACACTTTTATTTGTGGTTTGAAGAGCGCAAGGCACTTCAGTCAATAACCAAGTAAACAAACCAGTGATATCAAAAACAAAGATACAGAACCTACTGGTGTGACGCTTGTCCTTCATTCAAGGACAGAACCAATCTCCCAGAAAGTTTAAAGTGCCAGACGTCTGGCACAGCAGGTTTGGAAAAGGATTCAGTACCCTACACAGCAAAGCTTGTTTGCCAGCCTCGTTCAGCAGCTTCAGTCAATATAACAGAATGGTTTAGGTTGGAAGGGACCTTACAGATCACCTAGTTCCACCTGCCCTGCCATGAGCAGGGACATCTTCCAGCTGATCAGGTTGCTCAGAGCCCCGTCCAACCTGATGGGGCATCGACCACCTCTCTGGGCAACCTGGGCCAGGGCCTCACCACCCTCAGCATAAATAATTTCTTCCTTATATCCAGTCTAAATCTCCCCTCTTTTAGTTCAAAACCATTTCCCTTGTCCTATCACAACAGGCCCTGCTAAGAAGTTTGTCGCCGTCTCTCTTACAAGCACTCTTCAGGTCCTGGAAGCCCGCAATAAGGTCTCCCTGGTGCCTTCTCTTCTCCAGGCTGAACAACCCAAGCTCTCTCAATACCTATTCCTAAAATACACATCTGCAAATCAAGCACACTCTTATTCTAGAAAGTTTACAAATGGTAACAGCACCCGTCACTGTTTTAAACCTTGTCTTTATAACAAACTTATCCTCTTAAGCAGCAGGGAAATTCACTCTCTTTCAGGTAACTGTTTGATATGAAACTGTTCTTTTCAAGTCAGGTACAGCTCAGCAGTTAATGGGAAGTCTCAGAGTCAAAAGAGATGAGAGATTTATGATCTCCTCATTTATGAGATGAGTTTAAGTTTGCTTTGCTCACTTGCTTTTATAGACCAGCATTAATGCTTGCTTCCTTACCTCCCTGTAGTCTAACTTGCAGTTACTCAGAATTTCACTGTAGCTCCTATCAAATGTAACCTGAATCCACTTAAAAGAGTTTGAGAGCTCAGCTTGTAGTTGAAGTTACTGAAGTTTTGCTTCTGTATCACAACAGTTTGTCAAATTCATTATGGGATTCAGCCGAAGGGTCTGCCATCTCCCTCAGCACTGGAACCGATGCAAAGAAAGGGGTGCTCCTGCTCACACAGTGCTGGAAAAGCACGCTGATCCAATCGAAAACACTATTTTAAGGAGGTTCAATTTGATTTTAGTACTACTGTAACTGTGCATCATCCCAAGGGGACAAAAGAAACACGTAGTTGAGAATGGATTTGCTCCTTTGACATGTCAAACACGACGACTGCGCTGCCATCAAGTCTGAATTCCAAGCTTTGTGTGGCTGAAAAGGAATGGTTTTCTTACCCTTCCACATTAAGCTGCGCATAACCCAGAAAATTTGGTTAATAGCCTTGCAAACACAGTGTAACAGATGAATTTAAAACCATTACGCCAAAGCCTGGTGGATAACGTGCCACAGGTATCTGAGGACCAGACAGGAAGGTGTGGAGAGGCAGACCTCAGGGGAACAGAGAAACTCTCCGAAGTCACTAGATTCTGTGCTCTATCATACCAAGAACTTTTACATCCACAGAATATTCAACGATGACAAAAAGTGAAAAAAAAAGAAAAATTAACTACATTAGTTACAACAATTAACTACAATAACTACATTAACTACAACAATTAACTACTCCTTCACCAAATAATAATTAGCTACTGGGTTGGCTTTTTTGTAAAGCACGCCATTACAACATGTGTTTTGCTCCCCGACTGACAAGGGATTAGGATTCCTTATAGAATTTAGAAAGCAGTTCTTTTACAGATCCTCTCTCCCCTTTCCTTGCAAAAAAGCACAATTTGGCATCACTGGAAGTTTCCATTTTAAGCATTCCAGGTAAAATATTCATAGCATCATAGAATGGTTTGGGTTGGAAGGGACCTTAAAGATCATCTGGTTCCAACCCCCCTGCCATCAGCAGGGACATCTTCCACCAGCCCAGGTTGCTCAGAGCTCCATCCAACCTGGCCTTGAGCACTGCCAGGGAGGGGGCAGCCACAGCTTCTCTGGAGGTTTCACCACCCTCATGGGGAAGAATTCCCAATGTGGAAACACCCTGAGATCGCAGACTAGCACAAGCGTACCACAATACTGGGTAGCCTACAGGTAGAACTCTTCTCCCCCAAGCACGCTTTGTATTAGATGTGGAGCACAAAAGAATGACAGGGTTAACAGTGCATTAACGTTTAGTGATTTCAAGCTACATGTTAGTATCCTGAATTTACCTTCACATTCAAATTTCTCTCCGGACATACCAACTTCTCAATGTCTGCCTAATGTTCTTGTGCATTTAGACTGTAAACTCTTTGGTGAAGCGACTAGCCTTAGATTCCACATTTGCTGGCAATTGGTATCATAAAGGCTTTAGTCCATGCCTCTCTTCATTACTATTTAAACGGGCTAAGGGAGGGGAAGGAGCGTGCACAGCTCATGACAAAAAATATTCTGATAGAATGGAATGCATTTAAAGCCACAATTTTAGGTCTAGTCTTGCAAATGTAATCAATACTCATACTTCTTACTGCTGCAGTTGCTGGTCACCTGACCTCGTGTGTCATATCCAACAACAAAGCCTCTCTGCTTAAAGTCTGAAAAACACCTCTCAAGATACTTGTAGATCCCCTGGAAAGAAAAAGGAAAAAAAAAGTAAGGAAGAATTAGCTCTAGTGCAGCACACACAAATAGAAACATTAAAATTATGATCACATAGGATATATAATGTCAGTAGGCAAAATCCAGCTCAGCAAAAACATCAATAATGACCTTCACAAAAGCAGCATATTCATTCTCCCCCAAAGTGTTCAAGCAAAGAAAGAAAGCAAACAGAGAAACACTTGTGGGAAATAAAAGCAATCCAACAGTAAGTGACCAAACAGCATAAACAGAAAGCTGGAGCCAGCAAAATCCTCAAGCAGCAAACGCTTGTTTTCAATGGCAATGTGCTTTAACATATTCAAACCATCTTCTTAAAGATCCAGCTGAGAAAAATCTGTTTTTTTGGAAGCCCGTCCACTCAAGCAGTATCAGGCTAGTGCTAGTCAGGGCTAGTCTTTACCCTGGTGTTCACAGTACCAGTCAGACACCTTTTCAGCGCTGCTTCCGAAGTATTAGTTCTAAATTTGAATTAAAAGCATGTTTCATCCTTACCCGCCTGTTCAAGTTCATTAGTGACCTCCTCCAGGTGGACAGATTAAAGTCCTCCATTTATACATTACACAGATACAATAGCACAAATACAAGCTGTCTTCTGTACATCAAGGCAGAACATTTGCAATGGCAAGATGTCAGAGCATTTGCAATGGCAAGATGTCCCCATGCCGGGAGAAGAAAGGGGAGCAGCTGACGTGAGGAAATTCTTAAAACTCATTGGGGATAAGGAGAAAACACACACAGGAGCAAACAGCCTCTCAGCCAGCCACCCCTTCTTTTCAAAACAGGAGGAGACCGGTGCTCTTTGAAACAGTGCATCACATCGTGTTCCAGTCTCCCCTTCCCTAGGGCCTTCAGGTCCATCCACTTCCCAGACAGAATCTCTCTGGAGATCCATCCCAGAAACAACCCAGGATGGATCAGCAGTTTTAGACAAAAAGGCAGAAGCGCAGTTATTCACAGCATTTTCCACAGGCTACCGTTCACTACCATCAGAAAGCAGCCTTCTCCAACACAAACACATCACTGTGAACTTACAATAGCCAAGCTTATGCTAAAAGTCTACCTCTTACAAGGGCACAAGCTTCCTCTTGATAGAAGGGGTGTGGGTGTTTTGTACTAAGCAGATCTTTTACTCCAATATTAAGTGCAATTCTTTGCAATGTGCTTAACTGGATCTGACTCACTGTCACCAACAAGCAATCTCTCAACTGGAAAGCTAGCCTGACTCCTGCCCATGAAATTCAGTTGGGCTCTATTTTTTTTAACAGTTCTTGCCCTATCCACCAAAGAACATGCTTCAAACATGAACAAATGGACATTGGCATCTCCTTGAAGAACCATTTCAGCCACAGATGTAGTGTTTCCATAGAAGGATTCACAGAGAGAGAAAAACACTACAATAAATAAAATCTCTGAATACTGACGGAAGTGGAAGCTGTGCCATGGCGAGATCACCAGCTGAAGTCACCTCCACACTGAGCACAAACATGTTCACACCACCCTGATGACTCCTCAGGAACTTTCATTCACAGTTGTAAAGCAATACGAGACAGAGGAATGGGAAAAGCTTGTTCAAGTTTGACTTGAACACACTGACTAACATTTAAAGGGATGAACAACTCAAGTCAGGTACAGCTGACTTACAGTAAGATTCCTTATCAGTAAGACAAAAATAAGATTCCTTATCAATAGATCCTTATTTAGGCTAGTAGTATCTTGAGATCAGAAGACACTGAAGAGTTTTACCTGCACTAGTTCCTCAAACATCAAGAAACTGCACAAGGAGGAAAAAAAGGTTTACAGAAGAAGCAGGACCCTATTGGACAGGCTGGTACTAGTTAGAAGGAGAAAACAGGGGCATATAAACTTTGTCAGAAGCAGCACGAATCAAGGTAAGTTCAGACAGAAGAACTAACACTCCCGTCCACATAAGAAAGTCGATACATTACAGAATCACAAAGCACTCTTTACAAATGTAGAAGTGTTACACAGCACCTGTTTCACACCAGCCACCGAGGAGCTCTCCCTCGACAGCAGAGGCGTCCCTGGAATGTTCTGACAACCCTTGCACCTCTAGGATTCTGCACATCAAATTTCTTCCTCACCCCCTACTTCCCAGTGACAACCATCACAGCTGCATTGGCTTTTTGGCTCTAGTGCCCACACCCTTAAACAGCTCCCAGCTTTCCATTCCCTCCATCCCTCAAACACAGAAGAACCAATTTATTTTTGTTGCAAAGTAAAGGCCTATATTGATTTTTTTCGTAGGTTTGATCTTCTGTACTTTCTCCTCAGCACCTCATCCCAGCTATTTCTGCCTGAGCATTTTTGGCAGCTACTGGGCACCACTAAAATTTAAGTAACACTCTCCTCAAGGGGGAGGCGAGATTTTTCCTAGGACACCCCCTTAAATGAGCTACTCTGACAGAGATCAGTGATTTCATATGAATAAAAATAGGAATGTCTTTACCTTTTGCCATGGAGAAGGTTTGCTTAAGATTAGGACAATGCGATATGCAGTAGGAGAACAAGATACCTTAAGCTTAGCCAAATATCCCATAGCTGAAATCAGTCCAGCCCTACTGGGTGTGTTTACTAGCCAAATGCCTTTATTAAAGCTGCAGGAAACAAAAATAAATTAAAAAATGACACTGAGCGGAAGTGAATGCAGAGTCTCTCAACTATCTGACCCCTCTACTCGAGTTCACACTGACTTTCTTCCAGGTGTCACCCTCCCTTTCTCAGAGAGCAGTCAGTAACTCCAACACCTCTTCAGATACGGCATTTCTTTAATAAGTCTCTCAAGTTACAGAATTCTTACCTCCTGTATGCAACACTCAGGGTTTGATGGTGTCCCCAACTATTTTCTCCTGGGATAGCTACTGCTTCTAAATTGAAGTTATGGAAGTTAACACATTGCCATTACATATTCAGTGATAATGAATAAATTATTTGGGAGTGTCAGCATACAAACATGTAACTGCTTCAGTGAAGCTAAAACAAAATTCTCTTTAGGTGCACTGAAGTATGACAAATATTTATAACACAGCACAGTTCAGGCGAGTTCCCTACATAAAATTCAGGGATGAATCTGGTCTGCTCCTACTGCTGTGTTTGAAATAATCCTCTGATGTGTCCAGTCCCTTACAATCAACTTCAAAACAGCAGTGGGGGAAGGGATGGTATCAAGAATGGGGGCTGACCTGCTGGAGAGCAGCTCTGTGGACAGGGACCTGGGAGTGCTGGGGGACAAGGTGACCATGAGCCAGCAGCATGCCCTGGTTGCCAAGAAGGGCAGTAGCATCCTGGGATGCATTAGGAGGAGTGTAGCCAGAAGGTCGAGGGAGGTTCTCCTTTCCCTCTGCTCTGCCCTGGTGAGGCCCCATCTGCAGTGCTGTGTCCAGTGCTGGGCTCCCCAGTTCAAGAAAGATGAGGAGCTACTGGAGAGAGTCCAGTGCAGGGCTACGAGGATGAGGAGGGGACTGGAGCATCTCTGCTATGAGGAGAGGCTGAGGGAGCTGGGCTTGTTCAGCCTGGAGAAGAGAAGGCTGAGAGGGGACCTTAGAAATGCCGATAAATATCT